GTACATCCTCGTACACATGTTGAATATCCTTCTTTCTTTACGCTAAAGTGAACAAAAGATTTCACACTTATACTGTCCATAAACAAATCAGAGCAGAATGGAACAGGACGGAAATCAGTGCTAGGTGTGAGTCACGGGGCAAAGCTCAGAGCTGAGGCCCTACTACACACAAAACAGGAAGCACAGAACCATCCCATTTAATCATCACAAAACACTAACCAGGTATTTTTAATTCCATTTTTAAGCAGACTTCCTAAGATCACATAACTAATAAATGACAATGACAGAATCTGACACAAGATGATTCTAAAGCCCCAGCTCTTTCTAGTATATGAGCTGAAAAACAGAAAATGTATAATGAGATGGAGTATCTATTCACAATCAGAAAACACGAGTATATATATACTCTGTCACACACAGAGAGGTCATTCGTTCTTAAATCACCTGGCTTGGTGACACATCCGGGCAGGAGGATGGTAAAGCCTCAGGCAAAGAGTGATACATGTCCTTCTCCTCCAGTTTCCAGTAAGTCAGTCCTAATGTGCACAAAACACAGAGAAAACACAGAGGGAAGAGAGACAACAAAAATGCTTTCTAGATTAAATTCCTTACTCAAATAAAATTAAACACAGGAAATAACTCAGTGTTGGCTACCTGGTTACAGCAAGTTGAATGGTGATGGGAAAAGATTCTAATAACAATGTAAAACAGTAAATGCCTTACCATTTAAGAGCCCTGATTTAATGATCAAATATTAAAATAAATATTACAAGTCAAGATAAATTAGTGCAATTTAAAATAAATTTCAGGAGATAAAAATGTCTTTATGAATAGCGTACACTAATAAAGAATCAACATACAGATTTCAATAATTCAAATATTTATTGCACGTCTGCTGTGCAAGGTTTGGGTGAGGTGTATAAACAGCAAGTCAGTCATGGAGTATATACAGAAGGTGGTAAGCACTCTAATGGTAAGAGAAAAAAAACGGGGTAGAAGGGACAGATGCAGTGTGGGGATGGGTGTGGGGGGCCAGGGTTGGCTCAGGGAGAGAGGGAGCCATTTCAGCCATCTGTGAGGGGTCCCTAACAGGAGGGGTGAGCATTCCAACCAGAGGGAACAGGCAATAATAAAACTAAACCAAGATCCTATCTGGCATAGGGTCCTGCTGAAGTGGGGGGAGAGAGAGAGAGGAGGTTGTAGAAGGTGAAGTGGAAGAGGCCACGGCTAGATCTCAGCGTGCCTAGAAGGACTCTGGCTATTCTGAGGAACAGAGAACCACTGCAGGGTTTTCAACAGAGACAGCCCAGGACCTGACTTCTTTGACAGAGGCATCACTCGGCTCCTATGTTCAGGGGAATGTAGGAAACGGAGAAGCAGGGAGGCTGGTTAGGAACTTGTGTGATCCCATGACAGAGAAGGTAGCGGCTCTATTAAGGGGGGAGCAGTGGAAGCGGTGAGACGTGGCTTGATTGTTGAAATAGGTAGAGGGCAAAGCCTTTTTCATCTCCTGAAGAACTACATGTGGGGTATTGGGAAAAAATAGAGTCAGTGTGTAAAACCATTAAAATTGGAGTATGATCACCAAAGAGTGGAGCTCTGGTAGCACCGGGCCTAAGGCATCTGACTGCTCACCAGCAGGTTGGCGGTACAAACCCACCAGCCACTGCGCAAAAGGAAGCCAGGGCTATCTGCTTCCATAAAGATTTCCAGTCTTGGAAGCCCAATGGGTCACTCTGAGTCCAAATCTACTCGATGGCAACTGGCTGTTTTTGGTTTAGAGCGCAGACAGAGAACGTCCTCCAGAGGGCTTGGATGTGCTAACTCCTTGTGTAGCACCTGGAAACGCTAAGATTATCAGTATTGTTTTTTCCTTTTCAGTAATTCCAAAAGTACATCTTCCTTCCACCTTCATAGAATTTGTAATGCAAAATTAAGACGAGGAAGGTAGCTCCACCAGAAGAACAACGCAAAACACAGTTACAGAAACGGCTCTTACATAGTGTGTGACTACCATCCAGTAAGGAGGAATGCAAACAAGTTGCTGGGGTGGGAAGAACTTTAAAACTTTAAGTACTATACCTGTTCCTGAATCAGATATCCAAGAATTCGGCTTTTCATCTGGTTTACTAAGGTAAAAAGCACGAGAATGTGTAGCAGCAGTGAAGTCAGGCTACAAGAAAGAAAAATACCAGTTGACAGTGAGATCATTAGGCCCAAACTGCTGAATGAGGAATGTGAGCAGGGGCGAGACACGGGCCGAGAGAAGCCTGGGGGGGCAGGGGTGAGACCCAGGCCAAGAGAAGGGGGGGCAGGGGTGAGACCCAGGCCGAGAGAAAGGGGGGGCAGGGGCAAGACCCAGGTTGAGAGAAGGGGGGGCAGGGGTGAGACCTAGGCCGAGAGAAGCCTCAGAGAATCCATGAAGAGGCTGGCTTTCTCCAGGGTCACATAAATGCAAAATGGTAGGAATTAACAGTGAAGGATTTGCTTTCCCTGTGGGATTTACAAAAGTTTATTTTGATTCTCTGTGGAGGGGGAAAGAGAAAACTGAGAGCAGTTGAACTTAATGACTTCAGAACTCACGCTTATTTACATCTATTCTTCAAGAAGAATTTGAGGAACCTAGAATTAAACTCATTTACATGAAGACAAATGTAAAAGTCACCAACATACATTATGCATCATGAACATACAATAAAGCAAACTAACTCTGAAAACCATAAACTGACTTTAATATGAAGTTTAACAAGCAGTTTACTTCTTATGTGCAAGTAACTGTCCCAGAAAAGTCAAAATGGCTAATTTACTCAATTATAATCAAAACTGTCCAAGGGAGTCTCTCCTCACAGTATCTCTGGGCCTTGCCCTGAGAAATCTTTGTCTGAACAGGGATAATGGAAAAGGCTATTTCTACCAGAATGTTTTCTCACCTGTTCCACTATCATCAAACTTTCCTTTCCTGTTACAAGTATTTAAATTGACCAGACTTACTGGACTACTTGAGACTAGTGACTGGAGTAGACTCCCCAAGACTACTGCCCTGAGACAGTCTTTAAATCTTGAACCAAAACTAACCCAAGGTCACCCTTTAGCTCACAAAACAAAGAATTTCACCCATGAACACGGCACTCCTTTAAAAAATCACCTTTGAGACCAAACGGACATCATTGACTTTAAAAGAAAGATGAGAAGGTAAGAGGGCAGGGAAACTAGATGATTGGAAAGGGCACCACCAGAACGGAAACAGGGGGACTGTTCACACATTGGGAAGACTGAAACCAACGTCACTGAACAATCTGTGTAGAAACTGTTGAATGGAACCTAAACTGCTACATAAACCACTGGAAACATAATAAAAATAAAACATTATTAGGGAAAAAAAACTATTTAAGTTGTATTTGCTTAAAACTTATCCATGGAAGTAAAAGTACACTGGAATAAGTAATAAAACTACTACCAAGAAGGGGAATTATTACCTCAACCTTATAAGGCATCACTTAGTTTCTTTTTAATCAATAGGAAACTCTTCAGTCAATGTTTGTCTCTTCTAAAACCCATGCTCAAACCTCCATCAAGTCTCCATACTGAAAAGACCAGGAAAGGGTGACGGGAGAAGACCAGGTCACATAGCGCCCAGTTAGAGACTGTCCCCTCGGCCGATTCCGAGGTGAAAAACTCAGTGTGCTGAGCCCGCACACCAACAGTGGACCAGGGGCGCTCACCTGGCAGAGCCACGCCGGCTGCGCTCTCCAGGCCAACAAGGCAGCCCCGGAAGAAAACAAGCCCAGCTTCTGAGGAATACAACCATGGCACCTTGAAAAGCCCTTCGGAAACCTAACCCCTCTTAGCCAGGGACCTTAGTTAGTTTCCGCAGCGGTCTGTAAATCCACCTGAAAAACAACCACAAAGCCCTTCAGCCGGTGAAACAGTAAATCCGACACAAAGGATGAGGGAACAATGCGAAGACCTGAGCTCTGAGGAATCCTCGTGCTAAACAACATGCAGTTTCAACACGTACTTCCAAGCAGCTGTTGCCGACAAGGAACTACCGCCCACCACAGGACAAAAAGAAAACTCAACCAAGGGAGCATCCTGAGAACTAGGATTACCTGATTCAGACTGAAAGCAAAACACGGGAGAAGAGACGCAGAGGAGAGCTGCAACTTCTGAGAATCCATAAAATGTGGTCCAGAGTCATGCTGGGGAGGAATGCACTGAAGTCACCAACCACCATCACCCTAAAACCAAAAAGCTTAGAAATATCAAAGAAACTTGATTTCCCCTAACGATTTAAAGCCAAAGACACCACTCATCTCAAAAGAGAGAGAGAAGGGGGTTATAAAACCTGCCAGGAGCATCAAAGGCAAGACTCAGACGGCGGCGTTGCCTCCTCACAGCTCCCACTCTCTGCTAAGTAGACCTCCCTCAGGCCCTCTCAGGCGCTGCACCTGATCATCTGCAGCTGGGCTGTTTCGCACTGACTCCCAGAGACACGTCAGGCTGGACCAGCGCTTCTCAGACGTCTGCTGTTGTTCCCCTCCAGCCAAGTCCTGCACACGGCGACGCTAAGTGTGCAGAGTAGAATTGTGCTCCCGAGGGTTCTAAAGGCTGTGAGCTGTGGAAGCGATTGCCAGGCCTGTCTTCTGAGACACCTCTGGTGGGCTTGAGCCGCCAACCTTTTGGCTGGCAGTGGAGAGCGTAATCATTTGCATCACCCAAACTTTACTGCAGCTGAAGGGCTTTGAAAACTCCCAACACACCACTCACAGCAGGGCTTCCAAAGGGTTCATTCTGGTTTAGCCCTCAGTTGCAGAACCACACACTCAACTTTTATCGGAAGAGGAAAACTCTCCACAAATCAGCGTTTCAATGAAAGTAATAAAAGACAAGGAACTACTTTGAATGGAAGCGTTCTCCCTTGATGCCAATTGATTTCAATGAAAAAAATCATTTTATCCCTGTCTCCAAACAGCTTTAAGCTATCATACCAAACAAGGTATGGCATGACAGCTTAAAGGTATCCTTGACAGCACACACGATGCAAAGAACAGAACCACCTACACAGCGCTAACAGCCATGCCAGGCCACAGAGACTCTGAATCCATGTAGCTTTCTTCACCTTCACTTCCCTCAATACAAGTCTGAAGAAGTTCAAAGAAAAATGAAATTAACTCACTGCTGAGTCGATTCCAATGCACAGCACCCCCAGAGGACAGAGTAGTACTGCCCCATAGGGTTTCCAAGGCTGTCAATCTTTACAGAATCAGACTGCCACATCTTTCTCCCATACAATGACTGGTGGGTTTGAACCACCAACCTTTCAGCTAGCAGGTGAGTGCTTTAGCCACTGCACTATCAGGGCTCCTTATGGTGAGATTAGGAAGTCCAAAGAGCCATGGGGTGAAGAGAAAAGAACTACTGAATGGAAAGAGAAATTAAAAGCACCTTATGAAGGCTGAGGGTCTGTCTTCTCAGGACCTCAATTCTCTAAAAGCTGGTTCTCACACCATGACAGAATGGCTGTGTTTAGGATGATCATGACATAGACAACTTCTAAAGGCATCAAGTTGGACCTAATTTTGCAATTTCAGTGTATTACATTAGACAATGCCATTCTACGGCAATTCAGGCCAACAAAGGCTTTAGTGATCCATTAAAACTTCCTCCAGTACCTGTAACTCTTCAACCACTGAGGGCACAGAGCACAGAGAACTTAACCATTTAATCCTTTACATTTTACATAAATTCCAAACTGTTGAAATTTCAACATTTTAAAAAGAAAGACATCTTATTAAGTAAATATACTACTACTTCTTAAAACTTAACAGTTATACCTATCATTTGAGGTTTGTTTTTTTAAATGAATGAATGGCTAAACATAAATACCTGCAGTACAAAAGGGAAGAAGATCTTTACAAAATGGTTCATTTTTATAGTGCTGTATCCCTCATTCATTTTGATTTCTGGCCCACTAAAGAACCAAAACCCCACTGCTGTTGAGTCAATTCCAAATCATAGAACCTGCAAGACAGAACAGAACTGTCTCATAGGGTTTCTAGGCTGTAATCTTTATGGGAGCAGATTACCAGGTCTTCTCTCTTGTAGAGAGGTGGAGTAGCTCATGGGTTCGAACCACTGACCTTTCAGTTAGCAGCCGAGGACTTAACCACTGTGCCACCAGGGCTCCTTTTGAAGGACCAATGCGGGCATACCTCAGAGATACTGCAAATTCGGTTTCAGACCACAGCAATAAAGCTATGTCACAACAAAGTAAGTCATTTTTTGGTTTCCTAGTGCATATAAACATTATATTTATGCTATACTAATAGTCAATTAAAGGCGCTGTGGTGGCATAGTGGCTGAGGCATTTGGCTACTAACCAGAAGGCCAGTTGTTCAAACCTACCAGCTGCTCTGTGAGAGGAAGATGAAGCAATCTACTTTACAAAGATTTACAGCCTAGGAAACCCAAATGGCGGGTCACTATGAATTGGAATCAACTCAAGGGCAGCGGGTTATCGTCTCCTAAGTGTGCTATAGCATGATGAAGAGGACGGATATATTTTGACAACGACCAAAATGTGACTCTGACACAAAGTGAGCACACGCTGCTGCAGAAATGGTGCTGAGAGCCTTGCCTGATGCAGGGTTACCACAAACCTTCAATTTGTGAGAAAACACAGTCTCTGCGAAGCACAATAAAACGAGGCTTGTCTGCACCTGTGGCACATCACCACCACTCCTTTCAGACATCAGAAAAAAGACCTGTCAACGGGACAAATTACCGACACACAAGACAGGCTCAAAGGACGGGGTGCTGAGGGTGGGCAGGGAACACCCTAGGAGGATCTCAGGCAAACCAAGCCCAGCGAGGGGATGCACCACCTACCTTCTCGGCTGGTTTCTTCTGACACTCACTTCCTTGCATAGATTTTGAACATCCCTCTTCTACGAGTGCTCTCTTTGGTTGGTTCTGCTTCAGCTTTTGTGCCCATGATGTTACAGATGTACTATTAAAAAGAAGAAAACCAAAATTACTTTCTTCATGTTTTTCACCCAACCAAAAATCAAACCCACTGCCATTGAGTTGATTCTGACTCATATTGACTATAGAACAGAGTAGAACAGCCCCATAGGTTTTCAAGGCTGTAAATCTTCACAGAAGCAGACTGCCACATCTTCCGCCCACTGAGTAGGTTCAAACTGCCGACCTCTTGGTTGGCAGGTGAGCACTTTAACCCACTGCGTCACCAGGGCTTCACACAAAATGCTAAATATCAGCTGATGCTTTGTCAGTGGAAAATTCTTTCCACTGTTTTTCTAATAATGGAAAATGGATGGATTTTTTAATGAGTTATCTAAATTTCTTTTTGAGTTCATATTAGCAAAGGCATAGTGAAAAGACTACAGTGATCAATACATACAGCTTATAGCCATGGAATAGAACAAAAATCACCTACTGGCTCCTTCAAGGACAAAATCTATCTCTACAGAGAAAACATTAATTCTTGGCACAGACTAATAACTGTAATTATGAGTAGACGAGATGCGTGTTGCTACAGAGAAATGCTTTAGCTGATATATTTCAGCAGTATCACACAGAAAAGTTAGGACACACTACATAATTTAAAAAGATTTGCTTTTAATACAATACTGAGTTGTCAATGAAAGCAAACATGGGTATAGGGACGGATAGATGGGTGAACAAGCTAAACAATTATGTATGTCTAAATGGAGAGTGTATCCAAGATCATATACAGGGTTCGCAGACAATGGGCCTCTCAGGGTGCAGAAGAGTATGAAGGGATGGACACTGGGAGGAGGTAACTATGGGGAGGAAGTGGGAGGGGAGCTGCTGCATTGTAAATTTTGGTCAATGACATGAGACAAAGTATATGTGAACTGCTGTATGAAAAGTGAATTTACTCTGTAAATCTTCACCCAAATCCTAATAAAAAAAAAAAAAAAAAAGATTTGCTTTTTATAACCGTTCAGCCAGTTTACTTTACTAAAATGGATCCTGGGCCAATCAAAACGTCATTGAACTGATAAAGACTCTCCTTACAGAAATTCTGACATACAAAAACAATAAAATTGAATATGCTTATACATAATTTTTGGTTTCAAATTCTATGAACATATACAGCAACACTTCACTATGCACACAGCCCTGAGCTTTGATTTTTGGCACATTTACAGTGACCTGCTGTTGCCCGTGGCGCAAAAATCGTTGCCCCTGTGCCGCAGAGTCTGCTTTGACTGCCAGACTGTGTCAGACAATGGCTCACTGCTATTCATAAGGCTTCCAGTGGCCAGTTTTTCAGAAGCAGATGACCCTGTCCTCTTCCCTTGTCTTAGTCTGGAAGCGCCGCTGAAACCTATCCACCAGAGTGACTCTGCTGTAACGGAAATACCTACAGGTATTTCATAGCTTCCAGCAACACAGCAACACAAGCTGCCAGAAGATGACACACTGGCAGATAAGTGGTGGGTACAGTGACTAAAAGACAGGAAAGGTCATTTTTCAGCATGGTCTCCCACCTTAAGAGTTCTGTAGATTTTTAACAAATGGGAAGAAAGTCAAATGGCATTGGTATATGGTGTGCTTTGCTTATTTCAGTTTTTCACAGACAGTAAGTCAATAAAAGCCTTCAATTAGAACAGTAAAACTGATCGTTTTCAAATACATCTCACTGTATTACAGTCCCACTAACAGGAGTTTTATTTACTAGACTACATGTAACTAAAAGATTGTATGGGCAAAATATTGAATGATAAAGGAAACATCAAAAGAAGATGGAAAGAATACAGAGTCACTGTACCAAAAAGAATTGGTCAACGTTCATCCATTTCAGGAGGTGGCATATGATCAAGAACCAACGGTACTGAAAGAAAAAGTCATAGCTGCACTGAAGGAATTGGCAAAGAGCGAGGCTCCAGGAATTGACGGAATACAGAGATAGTTCAACAAATGGATGCCGCACTGAAGGCACTCGTCTATGCCAAGAAATTTGGCCAAATGACTGGAAAAGATCCATATTTGTACCCATTCCAAAGAAAAATGATCCCACAAAATATGGAGATTATCTAACAATATCATTAATATCACATGCAAGTAAAATCTTGCTGGAGATAATTCCAAAATGGTTGCAGCAGTACATTGCCAGAACTTCCAGAAATGCAAGCGGGAGTCAGAAGAGGACATGGAATGAGAGCGAGCATTGCTGATGTCAGATGGATCTTGGCTAAAAGCAAAAAACTACCAGAAAGATGCTTCCTTGTGTTTTATTGACCATGAAAAAAGCATTCAATTGTGTGGCTCATAACAAATTATGGATAACATGGAGAAGAATGGGAATTCCAGAACACTTGATTGTGCTCATCAGGAACCTGTACATAGACCAGGAGGCAGTTCAAAGAGAACAAGGGGATACTGCATGGTTTAAAATCAGGAAGGGACTGTGTCAGAGCTGTATCCTTTCATCATACTTATTCAATCTGTATGCTGAGCAAATAATCTGAGAAGCTGGACTATATGAAGAAGCATGTGGCATCAGGATTGGAGGAAGACTCATTAACAACCTACGATACGCAGGCGACACAAATTTGCTTACGGAAAGTGAGGGTGACTTGAAGCGCTTACTGATGAAGATTAAAGCCTACAGTCTGCAGTATGGATTACATCTCAACATAAAGAAAACAAAACTTCTCACAACTGGACCAATAAGCAACATCACAATAAATGGAGAAAAGACTAAAGTCATTAAAGATTTCATATCACTTGGTTCCACAATCAACATCGATGGAAGCAGCAGTCAAGACATCAAGTGACGTATTGCACTGGACAAATATGCTGCAAAACACCTCTCTAAAGTGCTGCAGAGCAAAGATGTCTCCTTGAAGACGAAGGTGTGCCAAACCCAAGTCATGGTGTTTTCAATCACCTCATAGCCAACGTGAGAGCTGGACAACAAACAGTGAAGACCAAAGAGTTGATGCTTTTGAGCTGTGGTATTGGCGAAGAATACTGGAAGTACTATGGACTGCCAAAAAAACAAACAAATCTATCCTGGAAGAAGTGCAGCCGGAATGCTCCTTGGAAGCAAGAATGGCTAGACTCCGTCTCACTTACTTTGGTCATGCTGTCAGAAGGGACCATTCCCTGGAGAAGGGTATCATGCTTGATAAAGTAGAGGGTCAGTGAAAAAGGGGAAGGCCCTCAACAAGATGGACTGACACAATGGCTACAACGATGGGCTCTGGTACAGCAAGAATTGTGAGGTGCAGGACCAGGCAGGGTTTCATTCTGCTGCACACAGGGTTGTTATGAGTCGGCGCTGACTTGACAGCACCTCACAACCACAAGTGTAATCAACAGGTAAAATTCCTTTCAAATGATGGGTAAAATCCACTTACCTATTTGCTTTCCCACTATATACTTCAGAAATCTTATTTACACCAACAAAATTATGCTCAAATTCACAAGGAAAGATAGGAACATCATCCTTTAAAGGTGCACTGAACTCGCCAGTAGTCTGTATACAAAAACTCTTATTTGTTACATCGTCTGCAAGTGAATCTGCCTGCACCACAGATGCTCCATACTGTTCTTCAGGGACCTCTGTGTGTTCCATAAACGCCTTAGGGTCTTTCGATTTGTAGGTATTTAATTCTGAGACGCAGAAGGTGCCATATCCACTGCTCACTGAACTGCTCTCTGCGTTGTAGTCTGGCTTTGGTGAGGAGGAGGTGTGCTGCATTTCTGGCTCTTGAGACTTAAGAAAACTGAGAACAGACTCATTTCTCCCACTGTTTTCAGAAAAACCCATTTGACTTTCTGAAGGTATCTGTTTGCTTGAAGAACTATCAGAGGGAGCCCAGGAAGCATTACTGGTCTGTAACTTCACTAAGTTTTTTATCTCTTCCTGTATACGCTGAAAAGCAAATGTGACAGATCTGGTTAAGAAAGTATATGAAACATCAATATTTTTGTAAATGTTAAGTAAATACTGTTTAAAAGTAGGATCAAATACTACTCTAAAACTCAAACAAACCCTGTACACCAACATTCACTGCAGATTATTCACAAGAGCCAAAAGACAGAAGCAACCTAACAGATGAATGATCAACAAAACGTGGCACATACATACACAGTGGAGTATTACTGAGCCATAAGAGAGAGGAAGCACTGATCCACGCTCCCACACACACGGACCTTGAAAACACGATGCCGATGGAAGGAAGCCAGACACCACAGGACAAATATTGCATGATCCCACTTACCTGCAACACCTAAAACAAAGAAATGTCTAGAGATCAGTTTATCAGTGGTTACCATGACTGAGTAAGAGGGAGCAAGGAAGAGTGACTGCTTACAGGGTACAGGCACTCCCTGGGGGTATGACCAAGATTCGTTCCTGTGCCTTTAAGAATTTCTAGGTTAGTCAAAACAGGTGCATACAGTCCTTATTTAGCCTTACTTTACAGCAAGAAAGGAGCTCTGGTGGCGCAGTGCCTAAGGCATTTGACTGCTAACCAGGTTAGCGGTTCAAACTCACCAGCCACTTCTCAGAAGGAAGACTGGGCAATCTACTTCCATAAAGATTAACTGCCTCAGAAACCCAATGGGGGTTGCTAAAGTTGGAATCAACTCAATGGCAGTGGGTTTGGGTTACTGCAAGAAAAGGAACTGGTAGAGCAGTGGTTAAAGCATTTGATTTAACCAGAAAGTTCAAACCCACCAGCCGCTCGGTGAGAGAAAGATGAAGTCAGTCTGTTTCAGCAAAGCTTTACAGCCCTGGAAACCCTACTGGGCGTTCTACCCTGTCCTACTGGGTGTTCCACCCTGTCCTGCTGGGTTGCTAAGAGTTGGAACTGCTCACAACAGCGGGTCTGGGGTTTTTTTTGGTTAGTGCAAGAAAAGGCTCAAAGCCTATTCAACGATTTAAAAGCTGCACATGCAGCATGTATAGGTGACTGTGACGAAGAATTTGCTGCGAGTAGGGGGTGATTCAATCATTCCGAGGTGAGCGCAAATTTATATAACACACAAGGACAAGAAGGAGTGGTCCATAAGTCAGTGGGACACTTGTAACCTGGGGACCTCCTCTATCAAGTTTCTGTTAAGATAAGAGAAGGATTTGGAAAGGCATAGTGGTGACAGCTACATAAGTGAATATAATTTATGTAGACGTAAAAATGGTTGAAAGGAAAAACGTTTTATTATATGTATTTTACCAAAAAACTTAACTATCAGAAGAAGAAAATGAACATAAAGTCTACTTAAAAAAATCAAACAAACCAAGAGGTAATTAATTACGTCATGTCCTTAAGTGTCAACCTCAAGATAATACATATGCTTTATCTTTCGTTTATAAACAAAAGTGGCATAAAGCATTAATTGGTTTTTCTTCAAACTTTACAAATATTGAAAAATAATGGACAAAGAGCTCAATAAGAGAATCACACATAAATGACAACTGACCTGAATCTGGTTGTGGAACTGTTCCTGCTGGGCAACTATCTGTTCTTGGCATTGTTTTTCCACCAAATTGAACAGCTGTAACCACCTGGTCTGGTAAACCATAAAATAATTTAGTTAAAAATCAAATTTTTGAAGTAATATTTCACAGAAAAATTCCTCAGACAAGGGCCTTTTCTAGCATATAAAACTTACAAGCTAAATTAAATAAACAGTTACAAAAACACATTTAATACAAAAACACAAGGACATAGAGTTGAACACCCCTTTCTTACATTACCTGTGGTCCTGAAGGTCTGGTCAACCTTATTTCTCAAATGGCACCATCACTGGGTATTATTCGCTATCATTTCTGATTAAACAACTACTGGTGGTTGCTCTGGGAGCTCTGGTGGCGTAGTGCCTAAGGCATCCGACTGGTAACCAGAAGGCTGGCGGCTCAAACCCACCAGGCACTCCTCGGAAGGGAGGTTGAGCAATCTACTTCCGTAGTGGTACCGCCTCGGAAACCCAGGGAGGGGCTGCTGTGAGTCGGGTCTGACTCGACATCAGTGCATTTGGTTTGGGTTTTTTGGTGGTTGCTGAGTACATTCTTCCTCCTCCTTTCCTCCCAACCGCTCATGGTTTCTTAGACACTGATGTACCAAAGAACCCCACACATAACACAAGAGATAACTTGGTACTCTGAAAATGCGGCCCCTAATTACTTGCTCTAAAACTAAAAACCTGCTTTGAAATCCGATATTACACTGTTTCAAAGTGCTACAGAGCTAGCCAAGGAAGGAAAAAGCGAGTCTGAACCCTGTGGGACTGGCCCCTCAAGCCCCTCAATGCCCGTTCTCCCCAACTCTGCGTTCTGGTGGTTATAAGCACACTACACCAAACACAGCAGGGAGGGAGGATGGCTACACTCAGCTTCGAGGCTGGGCCCTGTCTGTGATACACTGCATGCACTAAACCCAACAGCCCTAAGTAGCTGCCCTGCAAACCAGCTCCAAGGGACAGCCTTTCAATGCCCACTTCTTAGCACTGCCTCCAGGGCCCTGCGCCACCTACCTCATGCACACACTCCAGCTCCACCATGACTCTCTCTGTCCCTCGCTCACTGTACACCAGACCCCTGGCCTCTCTGGGTTCTTGAGCATGTCAAAACCATACTCCACCTCACAAGCTCTGTACCAAGAAGACCTTGACCTGGAACGCTCTCTGGCCAGCTCGCAACGTGGCTAGCTTCCTCCTACACTGCCATTTCAGCTTAATGGCCCCTTCTCAAGCCCTCCTAATGGCTTCCCTCTCTCTCATCAGCCCACTTATTTCCTTCATAGCAATCACCGTACTCAGAAATGCTCTCGCGTGATAGGTGTGTGAACCTGTCTGTTTCCCAGCTCTGCCCCCTCCTTCAGCATCTAGGACACAATGCCAGGAAAGAACAGGCATTTCAGCCTAGTCTGAGTGCACAAAAATGCACATATTTCAAGTTGTGCTTTTCTTAGTATTATAGACTAAGACGTAACAGAGGCCCTTCAGGTTCATGACGAAAGCCAGTTACCAGTTTTTAACTTATAAAATCTGAACCATGACAGAACTAAGTGGACATCTGTGGAATGGAATGAAAGGTTGAAAGGAAAAACGTTTTATTATATGTATTTTACCAAAAAACTTAACTATCAGAAGAAGAAAATGAATATAAAGTCAACTTAAAAAAATCAAACAAACCAAGAGGTAATTAATTATGTCATGTCAACCTCAGGGTTAAAAACTAGCAGCCTTCCAAATGACCTATGAGATTACTGATAGTAGATTCTATCCCTACTAATTTCAGGGCAAAGGAGGCTAGATCAAATTAAGTTGTTATCTTCTCAACCTAGCTACAACGTACCCACTACTGTCCAGTCAATTCCAATTCACAGCAACCCCGTAGAATGGAGCAGAACTGTCCCATAGGGTTTCTAAGGCTCTCATCTTCACAGGATCACAATCTAAACCTAATCCACTGCCAATGAGTCAATTCTGACTCACAGCAACCCCTGAGGACAGAGCAGACCTGCCCCAGAGGATTCACAAGGCTGTAAATCTTACGGAAGCAGATAGCCACCTCTTTCTCCCATGGAATGAATGATGGATTCAAACAGCTGACCTTTCAGTTAGCAGCCTAGAGCTTAAACACTGCACTAAGAGGGCTCCTCAATGCAATGTAAAGTACCTTATAACACAGAAATCAAAAACAATCAGGCAACATATTTTCTAAGTCATACTATACTTACACATTTTAAAACTTATTTTTAACCTGACAAAGTTACTATTCACATAAAACAAACAGAATAGAACTAATTACCTAATCAAAAAATGTCTTCATGTTATGTGAGACACTTAATAACCACATCTTTACTGTCACTTTCTTAATTATAATATTAATATTATTATACTAATTGTAAATTAATAGAGCTTACTTCTTAGTCAGATTTTAGAATATTTTCATTTTAAAGGAGGTTATTTAAACACATTACAAAAAGTTGATGTTATTATTCATTTAATGATTAAGGACAATTATTCCTTGCACACTACAATGGTGCATACCACCAGCATGTCACACACTGTTGGAGGACACAAAACTCTAAGTTATCCCTTCCATAGCTTCTTAAATTGGCCTGAAGAGAAGCACTATAGCTTGGCCTAGTAAACTAATGTCTCGGGTCCTGGGTTTGACCCCAGCTCTGCACTAACAACCCGTGCAGGCCCAAATGAATACATGTAACTTCTTTGTGCCTCACTTTCCTAGTTCATAAAATGGGGATGATAATACCTCACCACTGAATGGGAGGACTCGATTTCAAACTTAAATGTGAAACAGGGAAAGCTGAGGTCTCAGTGGGAATGGAACTGCATTTTGGAAATCCATGAGGTCATGGATGTTATAAATATGGAGGGAACACCATATTTTATTAGTCATTTGTGGGCAGGGCCCAGAGGTGCAAGTCACAAGACAGCCCTCACAATAAAGACCTGGTTGTGTCCATGTCTTATTAAAAAAATAATCTGTAGGGTCTCTCCTCGTCCAGAACAAAGAAGAATGAAGAAAACCAAAGATTCATGGAAACAATTAGTCATAGTGACTGATATACCATGCAATCCTCAACCAATATGACTATGAGACCAAAAGAACTAGATGGTGCCCAGCTACCACTGTCAACCATTCGGAGGGGGATCTATGTAGGAGATCCTGGATAGAGAGCGAGAACAACGTGGAACAAAAGTCAAAATCATTTGGAAAAGAAAAAAAGGGGGACCAGGTTTGCTGGTCTGATAGAGCCTGGTGGAACCACTGATACTATGGTCCCTAGCTGCCCTTCAGGTCTGGAATTGAACCCACACCTGTGGCTTCCAGCCAAACAAAAGACAGGTATATGAGTTGAACATTTACCTAAGGTAGATACATTCCTTAGAGAGAGCAATCATGGGAGAAAGAAGGGCTGTTTATGCACAGGGAGACAGCTCAGGGGGCAGAAGTGCATGGAGGGATGGACACAGAGAAGAGGTAACTATCTGGAGGAAATGGGAGGGAAGCTGTTGCATTGTGGTAAATTGTAGCCAATGTCATGAGACAAAGTATGTGAACTGCCGTACGGAAAGTGAATTTGCTCTGTAAATTTTCACACAAATTCCAATTTAAAAAATTTAAAAATAATCTGTAACTTGCAGTTTCATATCTCAAATTGTCCAGGAACGCAGCTACCAAGATCTGAGCTTATTTTAGAACTTTATCAGAAAGTGGTCACCATTTCAGACCCATGTCACCAATGGCAGTGCTGCTCCTACATGTCTGTCGGTAGCTATGCATTCATGGTGAGTTTACATATAGGTAAGTTCCAGACTGCTTCATTTCATCTGCCAATGTACCTGTGCCGAGGCATTTAAATAAGGAAATTCATAATATTCTATCATAAATTTTATTTCTCCTTTTTATCAGTTACAGGACACTGTATAGACTTTTTTTAAGTGCGTGCAAGCGGGTTATATTATCTGTGAATCGCATTTGAGGATAATAAAGAGTGATGTTATTTTTAAAGTCATGATTAATAAAAAAGGGGTGTTGGGCCTAATAAGGTTGAGTGCTCCCAATATAAAGTGTGCCATACATTTACTGCCCAGCAGATACTCACTAAATGGAAGATGCTGTGGAAATAATTTTATATAAGCTTTACTATCATAGTAGTACTAAAGGGATAAAATGCTAACGTAACTGGTTGAAACAAATTAATGAATTAATGATCCTCTTTTAAAAATTCTTTGAAGTAGCTCAGACACAAAGGACATATGTTGTCCAATCTCATTTACATGAAACATCTAGAAGAGGCAAATGCACAGAGATCGAAGCTTATGAGTGGTTACCAAGGGCTGGAAGAGGAGGTAATGGCGAGTTACTGCTTCAGGTACTGAGTTTCTATTAAGGAAAAAATGTTTGGAAACTGACAGTGGTGATGGTAGTATCACAGTGAATGTAATGAATGTATACCTAAAAATGGTTAAAATGGCCAAGTTTATTTTTTTGCATATTTTACAGTAATTTTTTTTTTAAGTTTCCAACAATCACAGAAGCACTAGCAATAACAAATATTTAAGACTGTAGCAGAGCATTTCTGTGAAATGGTTAACAGGTAGCATCTTACCCAAAGATCAAATGACACAACCTTCCCCAGTTTAAGCAGTGATAAAACTTAAGAAATCCAGGAAAGGTCTCAGAAAGGACCCCAAAGAAATCCCATCACCTTGAGAGCGACAGCAGCTCAAACTATGAAAAGTTTTGTGTTCTGTCTTAAAAATGCAGACTCCCACCCCACTGCCACAGAGTGGATTCTGATTCACAGTAACCCTTCAGAACTGAGTAGAACTGCTCGTTAGGGCTTCCAAGGCTGTAAATCTTTATAAGAGCAGACTGGCCCATTCTTCCACGGAGCGGCTGGTGGGTTCAAACTGTGGACTCTTTGGTTAGCAGCCAAATGCCTTAACCACTGCACCACCAGACCTCCCTATAATGTACACTAAACAACAAAAAAAAACTTTGGGTTTTCGAAGCAGCAAATCTTTACGGATGTAGATTGTCCAGTCTTTCTTCCATGGAGTGGTTGGTGGGTTTAAACTGCCAACCTTCTGGTCTTAGGCACTCTGCCTAGCCCCTTAAAAATCATGAAAATCGGAATGAATGTTACTATTCCAAAAGGAAGGCAAAAACATGAAATTCAGGTAAAAGTGTCAGTAATAGACCCCCATGATCCTTAAAACATCCCCCCATTCCTCCTAAAACACTACACTAAAATATCAGAGGATTTGTTGTTGTTGGTGGTGGTTTTCATATGTTACAAAAACATGCTAAATAAATGGAAGAAATTATATTGAATTGGCCAGGGGAAAAAAAAAAAAAAAAAACACTGCCATTGAGCTGATTCTGACTCATAGCCACCCTCACTGGGTTTCCGAGGTGGTAAATCTTCATAAAAGTAGATTGCCCAGTCTTGCTTCCACGGAGTGGCTGGTGGGTTTGAACCACCAACCTTCTGGTTTGCACTCAGATGCCTTAGGCACTGTACTATCAGAGCTCCCTGAATTGGTCAGAAGTATGTTTCATATTCTGGCAAAGTAAGAACTATCCTAAGCAACTCTTCACTGAACAATCAGTTACATATCCACATTCCAAAAATTAAGCATTATTATACAATATACCGTAGTTTTAGATATATTGTATTTATAAGTATTTATAAATATAATATACCATATTTTTACACCAATAAGGCACCATTTTTGTTTGCAAACTGCGCAATCTCCTCACGTTAGTTTCTTATACACTATGTGCATTATTTTTGTGAAAATATAGTAGTGATCTGTTGTATCGCAAGTAAAGAAGACAAAAGGAAAAACCAGGTTCACATGTTACAAGGTATAAGACTCTGGTTGGTATTCTGGTTTATAATAATCTGTATCTTAAATTCACAAAAGTAATTCTGATTCTAAAATGGTGATTTCAAAATATGAAAAGTAACAATTTCTAGTTAAACATGAATTTGCCAGAAGTTAGAATACAATGTGGCAATGTCTCATGTTTTTTTCAAACTATGTTAATTCATGCATTATAGCCAATGAATAGATGTATATTAGTGGGGAAATTTAATGAAACATTCCGTTTTTAACTGCATCATTTCAAAATGGCACTTTACAATTTTATATTAGGATATACTGATAACGTGGGAAAAATATAAAAAAGTATAAAATCTTAAAACTCCTTTTTTTTTTAAGCTTGCAATAATATTCAGTCATTTTTATAACCTTAATAATTAATGAATGATAAACATAATTACAGTTAAGGGAGCTACTGAATTTTTACACCAGGTAATTTTTCATTCATTCAGTATCATTCATTATTCTGGGGGAAAAAACCAACAATCATGGTTTTAAAATTAAAATTAACATTTACAACCAAACCTACAGCTCTTTAAATACGGAGTTTAACAGTATTTAATACGCATCTACAATGTACTGCCAAATCTGCCTTGGGAAAGTCTATTTGGGGCATTCTTCTATTAAATAAAATCTACATATAGATTTTACTGTTAAATTTTTTATATTACAATTTAACCTGTGGACTGAAGACAGAATCACTGACCTGAAAAAGCAATGTAATACAATGTATCACAGCTAAACTGATAAGATGCTAATATGATGGATAAGGTACTAGAAGCCTTAATATATAATAATGAGTAGTCAAACACTTCAAAGTGGATATGAGTGTTTCAAGATGGTAACAATTACATGTAAGTTACTTAAAACATTAAAATTAATAACAATTTTAGTAATTTGGGGATTTCCAGTTCTCTAAACAAAGACATTTCAGTTCACATTTAAAACCAAATCTTCCAAACTCACTGCCGTGGATTTGGATCTGATTCATAACGACCCCTCCTTGGGTTCCCAGGCAGTATCTCTATGGAAGTAGATTGCCCCATCTTCCTCCTGAAGAGTGGCTGGTGGGTTTGAACCGCCAGCCTTCACAGATTTAGCAGTTAAATGCCTTAGGCACCACAGACAAATCAGTATGTCCAATCACTAATGTTAACACACACTTAAATTATCTTTCTCACATTCTTTCAATATCATTCCCCAATGAATATTATCTGGCCATTTTACCAATAAATTACGTGTAATGCTCTTTAAAATATAAATCTCTAATAATTTAGAGTTTAGTAGAGGTACTTCTAAATATAATTCTTTTACAATTCCAAACATAAAACAAAACTAGATACCTCACAGTTTTTCCAAAGTTCCGAATCGGTCTTTCCACTGTTTTGTAGCTCTTGCATTAAAGAGGTTAGGACTTCAACTGTACCTTGAATTACAGATGGTCTGGTCTTCCCTGAGAAAGAGGACACCCCATTTGTACTAAGGTGGGGACTACTTCTGTTGAAACATAAATAATTCAAATGGTTTTCTTCATTCTACCAGTGTTGAATAATTCAGCAGGTCAAGATTTAGCAGAGCAGTACAAAACCACTGATACTTAATCCTTCCTAATGGCACCTCATTTGTCTAAAATCTGATCACAAGTTTGTCCACAAAGAAAAACACCAGTAAAAAGACAGACAGCACTTAATTAGTATCATTATTTTAAGAACACAATAGGAAGGCCTTCCTCAGACGTGAGAGAACACAGCAGAGTACCAACAGAAAACGAAAATTTTTCTGCGGAACAATTATTAAGAAAAATTTCCAGCTTTTCATATCTAAATTACTGCAGAGGATTCTTCCACTTTAAGGACAGGCCTTAACTGCAGCAGGGATTCTTTTCTACTGCCCGAATGTTGTGATAAGCTCACACTTCTCTCTGTACTCTCTCTGAATAAAAGGTGGGCCACGCGAATTAGCGGCCAACATTCAGGCTTGTTCAGGCTACTCAGAGTGTGAAACAGCACTGAGTCTTCCCACAAGGGTTGCCTCTCCAAACTTGAGATGAGTTTGTTTCAAGTTTGTTTCAGAAAAACACAAAGTATCATTAAGGGCATTAAGATCTATTTAAATTCTAATCACTGAAAGTGATTTTCATCTATTTATGGATTCTGTGCTCTGAGTCACAAACAATCTCTAAAAAGAAAGGCACATTTAGGTTCTTCCAGGCAAATCGGACATGAGGTTCTAAAAGGGACTTCTTCTAGAAATAGGCTTCAAGGGGCCACTGAGACACACAGAAGATGAAATGCAGGGCCAATTTGAGCAAGTAAAACCTGCCAAAGCTGGAATTTGTACAGAGAAACCTGTCAGAGAAGGAAAACTCAAATATATTTCAACAATAGAGAGTGAGAGAAGTGGTAAGACGACTGCCAAAGGTAGAATACTTTCAAGATGGGAAAAACCAGGCCGTCCTGTTCCGGCTCTCACAGGCTTCACTGCAGATGAGCGAGGGCCACCTATCTTTTGAACCGTGTCCTGCACTTTTCTTCCCTTTATGCTACTTTATACTTTTCTTGTCTTGTTTTATGTATTCTTGCAAGCATCCTTAAGTTCCTCCTGAAGAAGGCAGAGAATGAACGGAATTCTCACATGATTAATTAAGTGATGTATAATACACAACTTCGTCAAGGCCTAGCATGTGCAGAGGTATTTGCCTCTTTACAGCAGGGCCCAGACTGATGTGTTTTTGCTTTATGTTCCTGCTTTTTAGAGTTGAACTCCCTTCGAATGGTCTCTACCTCTTAGCTGTTTCTTAGCTACTTACATATTCAGAAACCAAATAATCAAGCTTGTTAGACTATGTACAAAACAACAGTAAGCAGGGTTGGATTAAAAAGAAAGCATAAGTAGCTTAAAAATAAAATGCATTGTTTGATAACATCTATTTTGTCAACTCAGTCAGGTTTTTGCTTACTTTCTAGTATTCAACTTTAACTGCTACTTTCCAGATTGGTGAGTTATTTCTGCAATAGGAAACATTATTTGTACCATTAATTTTAAAATACAGAAATAACATTAAGACAAATAAACTTCAAAGATATGCTTGTGATCTTACCCCCCCAAAAAAAAAGTTTAAATAAAACTAACACTAGCAAAACAAGTATTTTTCCACAATGCTCCCTATGTAAAAATGCGTATCTCTTGGAGAAATGAAAAATATAGAGGAATAAAAACTATTCTCAAATAACTATCCTTGAATAGTTCCTGATAATATTTTTCAAAATGCAAGTCCATAACTATAACACTACTTGGATGAATTGGTAAACTATGCAAATGAAGTTCTTCTGATTTGTTTCATTAAATAGTATCTATCTATCCTCATTCTTACCTATTTGTGTTTAAGTTCAGTCCAAGAAAATGGGGAGAATTTTTGACATCAGATTCTACAGAAGATGGAGAAGTCTTTTGTAAAGTTTTCACCAAGTCAAAATCTTCCATAGTGCACAGAAATTGTTACACTCGCTTATTTGAAAATATAGGTTCTTTCACTCTTTGAAGAAACTGAATCCGAGTCATCTTCAGATGCTTCATCGTCTATAGGCATTTTCAGTTGCTAACATTCAGAATCATGAAAACCTAAGCTTCGAAGAGTCTGAAAAATGAATGGGGGAAAAATACTATAAAAAGCCACTAAACCTAGCAACTGTCTTTCCATGACTTTGAGAGCTTGACCTCTTTAATACCAATCTGCATTAAGGACAGCAACATTACTTATAATAGCCATATACAAACAGCCCAAGTATCCATCAACTGAAAAATGGATAAGCAACTGTAGTCTATCCACACAGTGGAATATTATTCAGTCATGAAAAGGAATAAAGTACTGACATGTGCTATGAGATGGGTGAAGCCTGAAAACCTGATGCTAAGTGAAAGAAGCCAGCCATAAAAGACCACATATTTTATGATTCCATTCACATGCAAAGTCCAGAATAGGCAAATCTGTATACAGACTGAAAATAGGTTAGTGGTGCCAGGAGCTGAAGAGAGAGGAGGATGGGGAGTGATTGGTATAGGACACGGAGTTTCTTTTTCCAGTGATGAAAAGGGAACCAGCTAGATGGTGAGGATAAATGCACACCCTTCCAGAAATACGAAAAAGCACAGGATTTTACACTTTAAAAGGGTAAATTACACAATATGTGAATTATATTTCAATTTTTAAAATCTACCCTAAAGAGGACTTGTAAAAACAGCATCTTTTCAAGTAATACTTCAGAATTTTTTATATTTAATAATCAAAGTTCTAGACACAGTTCTTCTATGTAACAATTGGAATACTTACATGCCTTATAATTCAATAAATTTCTGCACACATACATGCTTGATGATTTAGACAGTGAGCAGATGAATGGGAACTACCTAGTATTTAATTTGGTATTAAAAACAAGCAAATTAAACAGTTAACAGCAGTGGCCTTCCCAATGGCAGGGCGGAAGGAACACATGAACACATTATCTATCTCCTTTTGTCCTCTATGCCTGTATTACTTCTTAAAAAATAAACTATTTGCCAGATCCTGATCCTCAGATGCTACCGAAGCCGGGTGTGCAGAGGCAAACTGGCTGTATCACCGCAATCTCCCTGCCTCCTGAAACTCATGTATTTACAGAAGAGCCAACAAGCAGGAGAAAAAGGAGAAGAAAAAGACAATCTATACTGCTTACAAAATGAAGGCTTTGGAGAGTCCAATAGGGGAAACGCATCTACTCTTCTGGGTCCTCCGGGGTCCCCACTCTTCCAGGGCCCAGTTTCACAAAGCACAAGGCTAATTAAAAGCCACTTCCTTCAGGGTCAGCTGTGAAAGCGAAGGGTAACCAGAGCCAACTCAATGGATTGGTCCCTTTTATGCTACTTTAAGTGGCTCGGCCTACCACCACGACAAAGGGTATTGAAAAGTCAGGGGCTGCACCTTCCAGCCGGCAACAAAAATATCTGGACTCCAATCTCCGTGCCCTGACGCCAGGAAAACACCGGCTCTCCAGGGAGGTGGGTCTCACGCATCTACTATCTCCCTGCTGAATTACTCCGGACACTAGAAATTCACTGATGCTTCTGCAGCCCGAGGGGGCAAATTGAAGGGGTGGGGGGAACAGCCTTAAATGCAAATATGTGTGTATACATATATTTGCATTTAATGTTGTTTATATATATATATATATGTGTGTGTGTGTATATAAAAACCAAACTCACTGCCGTGGAGTCGTTTTCCAATGCACAGAGATCCCTCCCTTGGGTTTCCGAGGCAGCATCACTACGGAAGCAGATTGCCCAATCTTCCTTCCCAGGAGTTGCTAGTGGGTTTGAACTGCCAGCCTCTAGGTTAGAAGTGCCTTCGGCACGACGCCACTAGAGCTCCCTACATATATATACACATATACATATACACACACATAGATACATATATATACACATATATGCACATATATATATACATATATGCACACACATATATACGTACACACATATGGAGAATACAAAAACGGCGACGTTTTTACGTTTTCCAGCGACAAACGCCGCCGTTCCAGGCCCCAGCAAAAAAATGGGGTTGTGAAAAGGGAACGCCAGATCGGGGTCCAGCATTAAAACAAAAGTTAACTCGGGGTTTTGCTTAGCCGGGAGCCCGAGGGATGAAGGAGGGGTGATTTCAGAGGTTCTGAGGCCGGACCCCCACACTTCAGCGTTCAGCACGGCCCTTCAGGTGCTGGAGGCGGCTATAGGACCTAAGTGGGAAGACGAGGGCGAAGCCACGCAGTCGCCTACGCTACAGAGAGGACTGAGGAAAAACGCACAAACAACTACAATCGTGATTCCAAAAGTGAGCCACCGAATCTCATCCAAAAAAAGAATGCCACAAGCGCCTCTCGGAATATGGCACTCTGTCATTGGACAGTGCAGGTGTCACTCAAGGACAATGAGTCTAGAAAGGCACCCGGCAGCCGGCAAACCCCCCACACGCCACCGGGCTCCTGTGCGGTGAGGTGGTGGGGCAGCCGTCTCACCCCACTCTATCCCAGCCACACACTCGGGTATGCCAAGACAGTGTTTTTTAAGTCTTGTGCCTTCTCCACCGCGACTAGCAGCCCCACGCAGGTTGGTGGCAGCTTACCTGGCCACCGCTCCCACTGCCGATGTCAGGGTCGGGTGAGCGGCCTCTCGCGACCGTTAAACTCGAAGGAACGTGCGCGCGCCCGGCGTCTTGCCAGCGATTGGTTGCTCGAAAGGGGGCGGAGGCAGCCGAAAGGCGGCGCGCGCGTCCAGCCCAACTTTCCCTGCCCGCAGTCCATCGCCTGGGAAATAGGAGGGGCGGGGCTTCTGTCAGTTACTCGCTTCTGATTGGCTCTCTGGGGCCCGCCTGCTGTCACGCGGGAAAAAAAAGCCTGAGCTTCTCGCATGCGCAGTTTGTTAGATTGAGGCCCGGGCAGGTGAGAGAAGCCGCGAGAATAGTATGGCGCGTGCGCAGACCTGGCAGCGCGCTTGTGATTCCTTTTCTGCGTGGATTGTGGTTTCTCCACAACTGGGGGCGGGAGACTGGTCCTGAAACCAGGTAAGCGTCGGCGAAGCCCAGGCAGCCATAGAGTTGTTTACGATTGTCGAGGATTGTGGAGAGAGGACTGGGGGTCGGGACTCTGAGTTTCCCGGCGTGCGACGTTTGAGTCGGGCAACCTATTTAACTGAGGCCTCCCTGGCGGCGAGGGGAAGCCGGCCTAGACACCTGAACTAAGTTTTCGATGGACCTGGCATACCGTAGGCTGGTGGAGGTCGGGGCATGAGGCTTTTAAAGGACTCGGAGAAAGGAGCGGTCCCCGCGGTGGAGAAAGTTCCAGATGAGGCCAGAAATGGAGTGGAATAGCCCTGGTACTAAGTCAGCAGTTTATGGCGCTCTTTACACGCAGCGAAGTCCCTGGGTGGCAGGTTAACTCAAGACCCGACATTGTACTTCGGTAGAGATATTGCCTCAGAAACCCAAGGAGGGGTCGCTGTGAGTCGGAAACGACTCGAAGCAGTTAAAAAAAAAAAAAAAGACTTCTGATGGCGTAGTGCCTAAGGCATCTGACTGCTAACCAGAAGGCTGGCGGTTCAAACTCACCAGCCACTCCTTGGCAGGAGGATTGGGCAATCTACTTCCGTAGAGATAACCTCCTCGGAAACCCAAAGAAGGGTCGCTGTGAGTCGGAAACGACTCAACAGCAGTGAGTTTGTTTTTTGGAATCTGAAGGTGGGCAGTTTGAACCCAACCAATGATGCTGCAGAAGACAGGCCAGGCAATCTGCTTCCATAAACGTTACAACCCAGAAAACCGTGCAAAACAGTCCTCTGTAACACAGGGTTGCCATGTGTCAGATTCAACTCCAGGGCAGTGGGTTACAAGTAGCGGGTGCTGTTCTGAGTCTGACACATATGTTCTGAGTCTGACACATATGTTCAAGAGCCACAGTGAACCCACTCTCCTTCCTGCACACCTCCAGCTCTTCCATTTCCTTCCAAGTGTCACCAGGTGTGCTTGAGGTGGCACCGAGAAGCTGGAATGCAGGTGATGTTTTTGTCTTGACCATAATGTCTGAATCTGACAGAGGCGTTCCATCCTAACACTTATTTTCAACAGTAAGAATGCAATCTTTCTCTCAAACCCTATCAGTGTGTAGGATCTGAAGCTTCAATAATTTACACCCCACCCCCTATCAAATTCTCCTCCACCAGTCAATATGATGCTCACGTCCTGCCCAGCTCAAATGAAATCGTTTTCAGGCAGCCATCACCAAAAACAGCAGGTTTTATCATCAATTTCATTTGGCCACAAAAATGTGTTTTGAGACACTGTAGGATTTTGCACCCAGAAGCATGAATTCCTAAGACAGTTCCAGGCAAAGAGAGGGACCCTTTTCTCCAGTGCTGTGTTTCCTTACAAGACACACATTAACCCCAGAATCCAGTACTAGTGCTTAGTTATTAACTATGCACAGTAGATCTTCGCTTTTGGCTAATCAGATGGCTTTTTTTTTTTTTTTCATTTGGGGCATGGATGATTTTGTTTTCATCGGTGTGAGTTCAGTAATCTTGTTAACCTGTTAATGCAGTGACATCTTCTGTAAGGTTGCTTGTGCCTTATTTCTTACCTCAGGGTTAGTTTTTCCATAGAGCCATAATTTAAAAAAGACTCAAAGTGGAAGAGGTAGCTGATTAATTGGACTGCAGTTCACATAGTATAAAGAAAGCAGAAGTAGAAGACTTCAGAAAGTCAAGGAAATGTGTTCACTGGAACTTAAGGTAATCGACATCCCCCCTTCCAAAGAAGCCAGTTTGCATTCCTGTAGGCTTGTGTGGGCTATTGGATGGCCTCAGGGTATTACCTTACTCTCTTACTATAATACCAAATTGCTCAAGTTTTTCTCAGTACTTCAAATTGACAGCTTTTGAGTGGAAATTCTGCACACCCATTGGGATAAACTGTTCAGTAACAGTAATGACTAATGGCTTGACGCAGTCACTGCCCATTAACCAGAGTGTTACTCTGTGTCATTGACTTTTAAATCCAAACAGTTATCTTTTGGGGGTCTAGTTCTCCACAGCACAAAAATGAGTAACTCTAAAACTTTTTAAAACTATAGTTTAACCATTAAACATAGAAGGAAATGATCAGGTTTATATTTAAATATGATTTTTTTTTTCATCTTTCCTTTTGTAATTTTTCTTACTGTGTTCATTCCTAAAGGTATTTAAGTTTAAACCACAGCTTGCTTTGAAGGAGGTTTTGTGACCTTTCCACCTGAGCTGGCTTGGAAGTCAGGCTGTATTGTGGCCTAAGAATCATCTGCACAGCACCTGATGTCACAGGTGGAATTGTGACCTCAGTGGACAGCAGGTCTTTGGTTACTTGGTGCTTTCCGGGTGTCTTAAATCGGACCGTGCCATGTAGTAATAGTGCTTGTAAATCACTGTTCAGGATTGTTTCCTCATGGCAAGGTCTGAAACAAAAGCCTGTGAAATAATGAATTTGCAGACTGGATCTATACCATAAACCCACAGCACGTAGGGTGTTAGTCAGAGGCTCATCAGCCTAGTAGTTTAGGGATCGGAAATGCTACCACTTCAGGAGTACTGGTGCTTTACCTTGATGGCGACACGTATGAGCCCTTTCTTACCCCAGGTTACAGATGAGGAACCGTGGCCAAAGTCACACAGTAACTTACAGAGCTGAGAGTCAAATACAGGTCATGCTGGTGACAAACTTAGACCCCTGCAGTATTGCCTTTCGGAGTTAAAAAAAAAAAAAAGAAGAGTCAGCAGAGACGGCTGAGGAAGATAAGCTAACGTTTGTAAAGGAGCTGGTCCGGAGATGTTACGGAAGGGACAGAAACGCACCAGTAGGAAGATTAGCTTAGTTTCAGAAACTGAGTACTTAATGCTTCTTCCAGGATAAGTCTTCCATAGATCCACAGAGTATGCATCTCTTATTTTCTTTATTGGTATGAAAGATGGTAATGTCTTTGAAACTACTGGGAGAACTTTCAAGGCATCATTAATGGTAATGTAGGCTTTTTTTTTTTTAATATTCAACTAATTCTAAGAAACACTATCTTCCCTCTTAAAAACCCCATTGCCATCAAGTCAGTTCCAACTCATAGCGACCCTAAAGGGCAGAATAGAACTGCCCCGTGAGGCTTCCAAGATGGCCACATTGTTCTCCTGCTGAGTGGCCCATAGGTTCGAACCGCTCACCTTCTGGTTGGCGACCTAGTGCTTAACCACTGCCCCAGCAGTGCTTCTTGGCAGCATAGGTTCTGGGACCTTTAGAAGAACATATGGAGTGTCATTATGACTGTTTTGTGCATTTGTTTAATTTTTAACAGTATAGGCAATAAATGAGGAAGTTCTCATAAGATGCTATAAATAGAAGAAAATCAAGGTGAGGGACACAAATAGCCAAGTGTATTTCTCATGGATTCAGCTTTTTCTCTGAAAAACAAAAACAGGATGTTGGTATTGTATGAATCGAATGCTTTTTCTCTTTGTGTCTCACTTGGTAGCCTGTGAAGTTAGACCAGACTCAGAGTATTCTTCTTTTCCCCTTGTCCCCTTGCTCTTCTTGTGTGAAAAATAATTCTCTGTAACTCTGGTAGCACAGTGCTTAAGGCACTCAGCTGTTAACCAAAAGGTGGGCGTTCAAAGCCACAGGAGAGAGATGAGACAGTCTGCTTCCGTGACGATGGACAGCCTTGGAAACCTTATGGGGCAGTTGGACAGTGTCCTGTAGGGTTGCTATGAGTCAGAATCAACTCGATGGCAGTGAGTTTCTGGGATTTTACAACACTTAGCAGCTGTCGTCGAGTCAGCTCCAACTCACGGCAGCCTTTTGTGCCCCGGAACTGGGCTGATGTTTCAGAACTAGATCACCAGGCTTTTCTCCCAGAGTACCCGCAGGTGGATTCGTACCTCCAGCCTGTCGGTTAGCAGTGAGCACATTAACTGAGCACCCCCCCAGAGACTCGCTGGCTGTGGGTGACAGGTGTCAAACCCCAAGGCTGGGAAAGGACAGGTGTGTTTCAAGCCTGAGTCACATCCCCAGTGGTTCCATTTCTCGACGTGTTCTCGTCCTCACAGGAACCCTGGGCCTCTAGGACAGGAAGATGAGCTAGATGTGAAAAGCAGAGAAAGGTGTGTTTATTTTAACTCTCATCTTGCAGGGAGCACAGAAACACACTTTGAGGCGCGAATTATTACGCGTTTCTCGGAAGTCATTCTCCTCACTCTGCTTCTGGTGCTGTCAACTGCCCAGCTTGTCTTTAAAGCTGCAGCACTGCACGTCAGCCTCGCAAAGCTTATGGTGTCTGGTCCCTCACCATCTGTTAGGTGTTTGTAGACCTGCAATTTCATTGTCTTTTTGGGGAGAGGGACACGACCATAAAGGAGCCGGTAATCCACCCACCTGCTGCCATTAGGTCAATTCTGAGTCACAGTGACCCTATAGGACAAAA